ACCACGTTCGGATTCTCGATATTGAATAACATCTTTCCATTCATCTTTGTCATTTGTTTTTCGGGTCTGTGCAGCATAATAAAAACTGTCATCATTCTTATCGGCTGCCCAGGTGAATGCATGTAATGGTTCTTCATCTAGAGATATATTGAATATTTTGTGTGAAATTGTTGAATATAAACACAGGTATTGTGGCTGTTGCTTATCATCACTAGATGTGATTTTTGTTTCATTTGTTGAATTTTTTCCACATGAAAAACTAATCCATTTGTTTGACGGTGACATAGAACAGCATAATTTTAGTTTTGGACTCTATTTGAATGAAACAAAACAACTCGTGTTAGATAGCTACATTGCATTAAGGAAAGAATCGGAGGGACAGCGATTTCTAGATCAATATTTCAAATATCTTTGGATTCTTATACATTACACGGCCTTACAATTACCATTAGCACGGATGACAGTCGACGACTTCAAATTATTCACTGTTAATGGTACATGTTTAGCTTTGAAAAGACCAGATGGTTCCAAGTGTACTATAATAATGGCCAATCCATTGACTTCCAGGCTTATGGAAGGATATCTTGTTTTCGCACCTATGACAGTAGAGCCTGAATTCTCACATGGTCCAGCACCTTCTTTAGCGGAAATGCTACTCGATTCACTTATAACAAAAACCGCCGGTACTTACTAGAGTTGAATCTTTCCACCCGTCACGTCTTGGATAAAAGTCACAAATTCTTTTTGACTAATATCCTGTTGATGCTAATCTTTAAACACTAGCCATGTAGTATCGTGATGAAAATTAGAAGATTAAGAGGCATTGCACGAATGAGACAGCGAAAGTTGCTCAATCGATGTTTGAGTTTTCGACTAACGATTTTACCGTGGGTAGAGGCAACATATATAGGAAGATTCCGAAAGTTTTTTCGTTCGGACTTACTTCATCAAAAAGTTTTCTAAAAGCCCTAAGAATAGCCTAAAACGATACTTTTATAAAAGTCAAATTTCTGATGTTTATATCTCGGCCCAGGAAGTTGATTAAGAGCTTGTATTTGCAGCATAAGCAACCGAGGTCAATTACTATCTGTAACCGAGAGGATATGCAAAAATAAGTTTTACATATGTGCGAACGTATGCGCAGAAGATGGAAATATCTTGCTGAGGCGAACAGTTTAACGTAATTTTTTTTAACCTAAAAGCTTTCTTATTGCATTGAGTGTTACTTCTATCCATTGCACAAGTACACCGGTACAACGAATTATCCAATCGATCCATACAAGTCTCTTGGTTGATCCACGGCTGAGCTCGAAAGTCGATCGAAAATGAAAATTAGCCTACTTTCCAATTCGGCTTTCTCGTCCGATAGCGTTCCAAATGTTGGAACTATAATGCCGCTGTAATCTATGGACCAGATACTATTCATGCCTGAAAGCCGTTTTTTGGAGGATCCACATACGGCTCTGGCAAGGCTGTCTGAAAATCCGTTTTTCGAAGTTCACTTAATATGAATGTTCTTCGAGAAAAACGACGATAGCTTTTCTCGTTGCATTTCGGAGCTTTGACATCTTTCTTTTTCTGAATCCGCATTGCATAATGAATATGAAAATACGGTTTCGAAGTTTTCGCATATTACAAAGTGACCGGTGAGTGTGACGGACGTACAGACAAATAGTCATGTGGGAGTGTGACGGACGTACATGCATATAGTGACCAGTGAGTGAGACGGACGTACACAGAAATAGTCATGTGGGACCATGACGGACGTGCATACATATAGTCATGTGGCAGTGTGACGGACGTACATACATATAGTGAACACTGAGTGTGACGGACGTACATACATATAGTCATGTGGGAGTGTGACGGACGCACATCCATACACATATATAGTCAATTGGCAATGTGACGGACGTACGTACATCTAGTGAACACTGAGTGTGACGGACGTACATACATATAGTCATGTGGGACTATGACGGACGTACACACATATACTCACTCCTGAGTGTGACGGACGTACATACATATAGTCATGTGGCAGTGTGTCGGACTTACATGCATGTAGTGACCACTGAGTGTGACGGACATACATACATATAGTGACCAGTGAGTGTGACGGACATACATCCATATAGTGACCAGTGAGTGTGACGGACGCACATCCATATAGTGACCAGTGAGTGTGACGGACGTACGTACATATAGTCATGTGACAGTGTGACGGACTTACATGCATATAGTCACATGGGAGTGTGACGGACGTACATACATATAGTCATGTGGGAGTGTGACGGACGCACGTCCATACACTCACATGGGAGTGTGGTGGACATACATACTTATAGTCATGTGGCAGTGTGTCGAACTTACATGCATATAGTGGCCACTGACGTCCGTCGTGAGTGTGACGGACATACATACATATAGTGACCAGTGAGTGTGACGGACGCACATCCATATAGGCACATGGGAGTGTGACGGACGTACGTACATATAGTCATGTGACAGTGTGACGGACTTACATGCATATAGTGACCAGTGAGTGTGACGGACATACATCCATATAGGCACATGGGAGTGTGACGGACGTACAAACATATAGTGACCAGTGAGTGTGACGGACGCACATCCATATAGGCACATGGGAGTGTGACGGACGCACGTCCATATAGTCACATGGGAGTGTGACGGACATACATACATATAGTGACCAGTGAGTGTGACGGACGTACATTCATCTAGTGAGCAGTGTCTATATTGAAACTGGTGTGTATGTCTACACGTGCTGTTCAACGGATACGTATGCCTAATCCTGGAGAATCAGGTGAAACCTATCATAAGAACAGTTTCTTATTTTGTGAAGCTGGTGTGTACATGTATATGTACTGTTCAGTAGATAATTAACTCTGGTCCTGGAAAATCTGGTGAGATCTATCCTGAGAACAATTTCATGAATTATATAATAAAAGGGTGTAAATAAAACGGCAAAGTGCCCTATAGGAACGGTTCCAATCGGGGGCTATCTACTAGTTAAGCTTTAAACTCAGAGAAAACTCTTTTACAAACTCAAAAATTAAATCGTAAAAATACCCGATTTCAATCTTTAATGTTTAGATTAGAATGGAGTTTTTTAATCCACATAGACTCTCTCGCCGTATGATGGTCGTCGTTTAAGTATCCTCCCTCAAACGGAACAATGAAAACGTCTCTAATTGAGTGTCCGTTCGTACCAAAGTGCTTACCTATTGAGGTAGTACAAATGATACATATTTGTGATGTATGGCGATAGAATCTTTCTCTTACTGGGATGCTAGTTTGTCCTACATATTCGTCATAACATTTTTTACATCTAATGTAACAATCATTTGCTACGGTTAAGTTTGGAAATATGACAAAAGAACAATGTCAAAGTAAGCAATATGATTCTTCTAAAGGTTCAAACAGTAGAAAGACTGATAATAGTTTTGGTTTGAATTTCTTTCCACAGGTCATTCTTGCAGTGCAACTGTGTACATCTGCGATCAAATGCCTCAAATACCAGCCAACAGAGCATGTATGAAACCACAATGGTCTGCACGGGCAATAACAGTTGGTACAGGATTAAATCGCCCTGTAGGACTATTCATAGATAAACACGACACATTTTATATCGCAGATTTGAATAATCATACTGTTCAACACTTTATATCAGGCTCAACTAAGGGAATAATTGTAGCAGGTGGAATGGGAGTAGGAGATGGACCAACTCAGCTAAGGTTCCCTCATACAATAATCATTGACAAAGACGATAATCTTTTTGTCGGCGATTCTGGTAACCATCGTGTACAAAAGTTTACCTCTGGTACTGTGATTGGTACAACAATTGCCGGTGCAAGAGGCCCAGGTAGTGAACTATTCCAGTTTAATGAAAATTTCGGCATAGCCATTGATCACGAAGAACAGTTGTATGTGGCTGATCAGCGCAACAATCGTATTATGAAGTTTTCGCGTGGATCAAAGTTTGGCACAGTTGTTACAGAACCGAATGAATTAAACAACCCATTCGAAATTTATATTGATCAATGCAACACACTGTACATAGCGGACACTGGTAATCATCGCGTCCGTAGATATCCACAAATGAATCAGGTAGCTGATACAACAATAATAGGAGTCAGTGGGAAACCAGGAAATGGTTCTCAACATTTGAATAAGCCTTGGAGTTTAACAGTCGACACTTACGGAAACGTCTTTGTCTCTGACGAATATAATCATCGGATTCAAAGGTGGAGTGTGAGAGACGGTACAATTCAAACAGTTGCAGATGTAACAGGGTCTATCGGCAATGATTCCCAACGTTTACACGAGCCAAACGGTGTAGGGTTAGATTCGAAAGGAAATCTGTATGTCGTAGATCAATCTAACTATCGTTTACAAATCAATTACGTAAGCACACACGGTGACGGACGTACATACATATAGTGACCAGTGAGTGTGACGGACGTACATACATATAGTCATGTGGTAGTGTGCCGGACGTACATACCCGGAATCAGACATTGAGTCACTTTACAGTAATATCCCCATTGATGAAGGAGCTGCTAAAGTCACGAACTTTGTATTCGAAAATAAAAACGCTGCTGATATACCAGTCACTCGTCAGGGTCTGCTTCAGCTTCTTAAGCTAGTATTAGGAAATAATGTTTTTCACTTTGCAGGAAAATTTTACTCGCAAAAATTTGGCACAGTAATGGGAACGCCCTGCGCCCCACCTTACGCAAATCTTTTTGTTTTACTAAATGAATTGAAATTCTTCGATGAATGTAATCATCTCCCATATCGGTTTTTCCGATACCTCGATGACGTTTTCATTGTATGGTACGGAGACAGAAAAGTATTTGAGATTTTCCTTCGTTCGCTTAATTCAATTAACGTAAATTTGAAATATAAAATAGTGAAATATTAGTACGAACAAAATAAACTATTTGGATGTACTAATTGAAAAGGATCTTGTACAAAGACGACTTATCACAAAGTTATACAAGAAGCCAACAGATACGTTTCAATATATTCGTGCTAGTTCAGGTCATCCTGAACACATCATTAAAAATCTAGCTACAACTTTAGTTCATAGGGTTAAAAGGATATGTAATGATGAAACTGATAAATGGCACGAATATGCCAATA